GGACTAACTAATTCGTATTTTTTGATTTAGAATCGCAAATGCCCACATTTTACTTGAAGTTAGCGCCACTGTAAACTACAGTACGACAGCATCGTCGTGGCTTTCTACGCCTCGCAATGTAACGGAAGAAAAAGGAGAAACCCCGAGGAAGTGAAAATGTTTTCTTCGGCATCATAATCCTTGTCTTTATATAGGGACAGTTTAAATAACAAAGTGATTCACTATTAGTGTTTACCCTACACGATATGGTGCGGAGGTATGTAATATTTTTCTTTGATATTGTTTTTATTTCTACAATACTGATTTTTAATTATATTTGATCTGATATATCCAGGATTGTTGTCGTGTGAGAGTAATTATTATGATGTTCGTTATATTTTGTGTGGTACGGAAATAGAGTAGATGTGATGAGTAAAGGGAAACAGAAGCAGTCTGTGAGAAAGATTCGGAAAATAGTTTATACGTCTCAAAATTCACAGATATCGTCCCCAGAGGCTCACCGTGCCAGCTAGGTCAAACTCGAAACTCTTGACGTGTCTCCCGCCCTTTGGAGTAGTACAAGGCATGTAAGTGTAAGTGTGTGGGTAAGGAGAGAGGATGAGTGAAGGAAGAGGAAAGAAATATCGCGCGCGGTCCGTGGTCCGTTTGTTAGGGTACTGCTCCGGCATTCACCTGGTGTTGATCGCAAAAACTACGGAAAACTACCGACCAGAGCAGCCAATCATTAAAATTCTCCAGACAGCGACTGAATTCGATCTAGCAAAGATTCTAGAACAGAAACTCAGAATCTATGGAAAAAAATAGTTATGTGATGTTCTCTGCAATTTAACATCGTGGGTTCCTTTCTACATGTATTTGTATGATGTATTTGTTAGTAATCGTTTAACAATGTTTAAAATGTTTACCGACACACACTAACTAATGCTGTAACGCCCAGCTCAGGCTCGGGTGTTTCAATTTAAAGCTATTTTCACTATTAAAGTAATGATTATTCGGACGTGTCTAACTAGTTTATTTTGTTATATAGGATATTTCCTAAAAGTTCGAGTTCCACTTTTGTCATAAAGAAGAAGTGCAGCGCACTAATCCTGTAAAACAAGCGATATCGGTTTCGTCACTAACCTGTTTACATTGGCAAACGTGCAATAACTAGATATTTTTACAACGAAACTGTCGATCATATTGCCAGACGCACCGAAGCTTAACAAAAGGCTTCGCGGCACCGAGAGCTGTCGTTCCAATGACAGGGCTCGGCGGTTTAACTGATGTCTGGACTTTCAACATTGCTTTATGATGAACCAACACAAAAAGGAGGCTATTAGTGAAGGAAAAAGAGAACGTCCACGACGACGTGGTTTTCCGGGTTGTTTATTTTTAAGCTTAAATGATTCTTGATTTGAGTGTAGAGGCCGTATGTTGTTTTGTGCATCTTAACGGGTTGACACGCTCGTTAGTTTGGAACAGGTGTTTGATGGTTCTAGATTATCAGAATTAGCCTGAGATCAACTACTGTACTTAATTCAGACGTTTTGATGCTTTAGTAGCTTTAAACCACAATGTGATGTCTCATATCTGATATCTCATTTCCGCACGTCATTTTTATAAACCTTTTATAGATATTTTTTCAACGATAGTTAGACACTACACGCAAGTACTACAGCATATTAAGTAAATCATTCTGTTGAGTTATTTGTAGATTCATGATATCTGAGTATTTAATCTGAGAAATTCACTAAACATATAAAAGTATTGGACTAATGAAAAAAATGATCCAGCAACAGAATCTTACTGGTTTCCCGTGTTATTCGTGATTATGATTAAGAATCACGGTTTTCGATTCACAAACTCATTTTAAATTGACAAATTTCTTTTATATCTTCTTTTGTTTTAAATATTTACGATCGCATTATTATCGTCCCGATTTACAAATATGCATCTAACTAAAATCGATTAATTTATTCTTCTGCGGGCGACTCCACTAGTTCTGCACTCCAAATGAGAGAGATGGACTATTCGTCAACTTTACTACAATGTTATTACGAGCTTGAGTGGGTTTATCCGCAATGTCGAATAAAATAATTGCTAAGAGATGCGGATGAAAATGTTGTTACAATAATGAAGTGAGATACGGGATCCTCGAGGAAAACTGCCACGAATCAGCTTTATCCCACACATTTTTATGTGAATACATTTTTATTAGAACCCAAACTTTGTACCACTGCTGACGGATTACTAATTTGAACTACGGATTTGAAGCCATGCTTATTTGAATTCCGAATTTGAACTTCTGCCGATTTGAATTCCGAAGTCCCTGGATTTAAACTATTGCTGATTTGAATTTCAAATTTGTATCCCTGTTCATTTGAATTTCGAATTTGATCTCAGGTTTTGAATCTCTGCTGGTTTAAATTCCGAATTCGAAGCTTCGATTTCAAACCTTGCTGATTTGAATACTAAATTTAAACTCTGAGTGATTTAAATTTAAACCGCTATTTTGAGTGTGGCTTTATAACTCTAGATTTGAAATCCGGAATTTGAACCCTAAAATTCGAACATCAAACATCACACACGCTGATGGATGCTGCGGGTAGGCCCAGTGGCGGAGACGCGCTGCGCTACGCGATGCTAAACCGGTTTCACGGGAGCGGCCGCGTGTCTCAGTCCTGTGAGCGGCCGCCGCCGCCGCCGCCATTTGTCTCGGAAACTAGTGTGAGCCCATCGCGATCTCCTAGCACTTCCAACAAGGGGTCTTCAGAAAATAATTATGAAGAGGGACATTTTAAAAAAATACAGCAAATTTTTTTAAATTCAATTTATTTGTGGTAATAACTGTTTAATTTGTATAATATTTTAATGTCTGTATTATAATTTATGAACAATTTTAAAATGTAACATAAAAAATATATTTTTATGAATCATTCGATTATTCCTTTTTCCAATACATATAGGTTTGCATATAAGCTCTTAGACTACGTTCAAAATATTGTATTTTAAAAATTGTTTAATGCTCATTCTATTAAATTTAATTCACAATTAATAAATTATTTTTAAAATATTTGTGAATTTTAATTATATGTTTAATCCTGTATTGTATCAAGGAAACCCCATAGCATAACCCCGATTCACCAGTGGTAGAGCCCTATCTTTGAAAGTTGTGTGTGACAAATCCTTCAATTTTTTTGTTACGGCGCAGAAGGTGGTCAAGACACGTAATGAATTATTAATGCTGAATATAGAAGAATTTTACTGCTTCAAATACAAACGTAATGATTTAATATCTTGAAATTAATATATCAATTAATATATTAATTTGTCCTTTAAAGATCATTACGAATTCGAAAATGTTGGCAAATGCAGTGGAAATGATAATGAAATAATTGCATGATATCTTGACTTCTGTTCTCAACTTCCATGCAATTTTGTCGAGAATTACAGCTGCTTCTAGAGACTATTTAGTTAAATACACCATAAGAGAAAAGTATTACATTGATGAATTCTCTCAGAAGATATTCTCAAATAACGACAGACAGGTTTAATTTACTCTCGATGTCGTGGCGATCGTTTACTTTATTCTCTAACTAGCAACTGTAATTTCGCTTATCCTACCCATTCAACAAATTGCGCATGTACAGAACCATGTGTATGCATGTTTTAGAGAGAATATGTGGATAAGAAACGGCCCTGGATAAAACCGGTTTAACCACTTGCAATGTTCGTAAAAAATAGATACATCCGGCAGTTCAACATTCGCTGAAAGGATATGGAATTACAACACATTTCTGACTACTGAGAAGAAACTTCAACGAACACATGTTCGTGCACGAATACATTACATAGATTTATTTTTAAAATTCTAATACGGGCTCACTAAATTAGCTATCGCTGAAATTAATTCGTGAAATATTTTATAAGAATGAATTGCTTCGTGTTTTGCTAGCCTTTCGTATCGGTTCTGTTAAACATTTTCATGGGATGGTAAAGAACATACGTTAATATAAATTGAAAGAAAACAATGACAAAAAAAATTGTGATCCATATGGTATTTAATTTTATGTACTCTTTGTTTTGGTTAAATAGTTTTTGCGATTCTTGTTTCCAAAATGTAAGAATATACAGATAAAATTTCCGATGCAAAATTGCAATTCATTTTAAACAGGGCAGACTCAGTCTTGTCGTGTTCGGAAACCTGGGCCTGAGCCTGTGCCTGGACATGGTTCTGTGCCTAAGCCTGTGCCTAGGTTAGGACCTGCGCCTGTGCGTGTTCCTGGACCTGAGCCTGAGCCTTGGCTTCAGCCTGAACCTGACCTGCGTCTAAGGCCTGGGCCTGGGCTTAACCCTGGGCCTGAACCATAGCCTTAGCCTGGGCCTGAGTCTGAGCCTGAGCCCTTAGCCTTAGCCGTTAGCCTTTATTCTGGGGCTAGGCCTGGGCCTGGGTCTGAGCCTGGGATCCAGCCTGAACCTGAGCCTGTGCATGTGCCAAAGCATGTGCCTAGGCCTGTGCCTGGGCTTGAGCCTGGGCTTATGCCTGAACCTGAGCCATATCCTTAGTCTGGGCCTGAGCCTGGGCCTGAGCCTGAGCCTTAGCCTGAGCCTTAGCCTGTGCCTTAGCCTTAGCTTGATCCTGGGCCACAGACTTAGCCTGGGCCTTGGTCAGAGCTTGAGCCTGAGCCTGAGCCTGGACCTGAGCCTCAGCCTGCACCTGCACCTGAGCCCGGGCCTGGACATAAGCCTGGGCCTGAGTCTGAGCCTTAGCCCTAGCGTGAGCCAGATCCTGGGCTTGGACCTGGGCCTGGGCCTAAGTCTGAGCCTGGGTCTAAGTCTTAGCCGGGCCTGAGTCTGGGCCTGGACTGGAGCCAGTCCCTGGGCCTGGGCCTAGATCTAAGCCTGAGCCTCAGCCAGAGCTTGAGCTAGAGCCTCAACCTTGGTCTGAGCTTGGTCCAGAGCCTGAACATGAGCCTGGCTCTGAGCCGGGATTCCCTCGTGTTGCCTTGGATACTCACGCTCATCGACGGAGGGCTGCGGGCGGCGCATCACGTCCAGGGACGCCAGGCGCCAGCGGCCGTCGCCGGCTGAAATCAGAAGTCCTACGGGTCGGTGGAGGGCCACCGCTCCCCCGCGCCCTGCTCTCTCCACTCTGTTCCCTCACCGTCCACTTCTCTCCTTCCCCCTCTCTCTCCCGCTTTTCCCCTTTCCCTCGACTTTCCGTCCTCTTGACGAAGCCTTCTCACCTAGTCCCTAACACTTGTCATTTCTTTTTTTTGATTTGTCTCTCCCTACTTCTTCTCCCAACCCACCATCACCTCCGGTTTTTAGTGCGCTTGTCCTTTGTTTTTATACTATTTTGAACTTATTTTTCCCAATGTTCAAGTAATTAATCTATCAAACATTTTGACATGTGAGAGAAAACGCACTATGTCGTCTTGTTATAAAATCCGCGATATGAATAGAAGCAAATCTAAGCGGGAAATATACTATTTGAATTAAGAAATGGAACTAAATGCAGAAGCAATGTACCAGTTATACGAAGGAAGAATCAGAGAGGGGTGTAAGGAGAAAGGAAGAAAGAAAATGTGTATAGATTGAAAAAAAAATTTAGAAAATGATATTCAACTCTTTGAGTATAGCACATATCTTTCGACTTTCGATAATTTTCACACACTGTCATCATTTACCATTACATTCGGTGTACCTGCAAGAGAAGGAAATTTCTTTAGCTTCTGTATCCTTCGAAGGGACTTCAACCGTTTATGACTTCTCCATGTCCACGTGGTTAGGTAATCAATTATGTACTTCATTTATATATCTATAATTGAAAATGACCGTAATCAATAATCTCCAGAACGCATGATCTTCGCAACGTCTCACACTATGAATTACTGAGCATTCAGTAAATAACCAAACAGTACCGGGCCCGGAGCTTCAAGCAATTAGTGAATTTCTCGGATCAACTGTTCGCCGCGGGAGTTCGTGACATCGACGAGGGACCCATCACACGTTAGTGACATGCAGCGAGCGAGACACATCGTTGATGAGACCTCTAGAGGAGACACGGCGGCCAGAGGGTTACATACATGCGAAAGGAGTCACACGAGACCCAATACGGAACCAATCAAAGTCAGTGATGTGTTGAAGGCATTACCAAACAATAGGCACTTGTAGAAAACATACCTACCACATGAATTAAAAATTAACATTAATCGGCCGACAATCGCACAACTATACAGCATGTTCAAACTTCTGAAATTGTGACCATGGTTCAATAAATATGGATTTAAAAAAACATGCATAAATTTTGGACATAACACAAAACAACGACAATTGTTTGGGGCAGATATTCTAATTAACTATATTAGTGAAGTCATTAATGATGTATGAATAAATGCTCAGCTGTCTCGTTAATTTTTGATTTTTGCATAAACGATATAGTTTGCTCTAAGCAACCATAATCTTTGTATTCGGTAGTACAGGCACAAGACTCTAGGTAAAATCTAATTTTCCTTCTAAGTAATAACAGTGTTTCAATATCCGCATATAAACACTATGTGGGGAATATCACAGAGAAAAGTCGAGGAATAAGAGTAGAGAAGAAGATATTCAGGAAAGAATGTCGACGGACGGAAAGATTTGGCTCCTTCAGCCAGATTTCTCGTGGAGCACAGACGGGGAACACAGACATATACAGTTAGTTTCGAGAATCATCATTCATGTATCCAATTCGCGAAAATCCTGCCATATCGGTATATGACACAGGTAGTAAAATGTTGATGACACAAACATCTAACGTTCTATCATTGAAACATTCATGATATATTATCCGACGTATAATAATAATAATAATAATAATAATAATAATAATTATTATTATTATTATTATTATTATTATTATTATTATTATTATTATTATTATTATTATTATTATTATTACACACCTGGATTTTGAACCTCGATAGGTCGAATTATTCCTTAACACATTCGATTTCTTTTTCCTTTGACTTGTGAGATATCGACGGACCGCTGACAAATACTCTTTATCGTGTCAAACACACATTTATTAATCTGACAATGTGATACTTTTTATGTATTTACCGTGTATTTCTGCGACTTGCCGAACTCCCAGAAAATATTCGTGCAATCCTGATTGGTAACTACAATCTACGAGTATTCCCACTCACAGGTCGAGTTACGTAGAGAGGGAGCTGCGTAAACACATTTCGAGAGCCGCCGCGCCGTCCGTTGTGGTGGTGTGGTTGGCGGGGAGGCGTGGGGGAGTAGGGGAAGGGGAAGGATCCCGTGACGCGCTATCGACACGCGACCGAATCAGGCAAGCGCCAACAAGAGGCAGACAATTCCGCGACTGCTGAGGCGCGCGTCCTCACACGTGCGTCTGCGGTGGCGGCTGAGTCAGAGCTGGACAATTTTGGGCCCTCCCCCTACACCTGAATTACAATTTCCTTACAATGACATTACAATTTTAATGTGTACAATACTTAAAAAAATTGTTGTGTTTAGTTAACTTATAATAATATCATTTGTTAAATACAGGAAATAATAAATATGCATTTCGGTAGAGCTTATTTTAATGTAAGCGTCATTTGATTCATTTCATAGAGACGTAATGAACAATTTAAGGTAAACATTGATTGTAAGTTTTATGAAATCATATTACACTACCGCGACTTAATAATAAAATTACAATACCGATTTTCTGCGAGTTTTTAATTTCTTCTTCAAATTTTTACTAATTGTTTCCCATCGGCACCGTCATTGGGCCCCTTGACTTGCGGGGCCCCGGGCGATCGGCCGGTCCGCCCGTGCCTAGCGGCGGGGGCGGCGGCGATGGCCACGGCGACCGGCGCGCCGCGCCGCGAGGGCCGGCGGCGACGGACAGTGCCGACTGCGTGCGGCGGGGGCCTGCATGAACTGTGACGCATGAAGAATGCACGTGCTCCGGACAGACCTCGGCGCAGGATTGATGCTCTCATGTATCGTTATTCCTCTGCGAACTCGAACCTCGATTCGGCGGAATATTCGATACCTCGAACATTTGTTGTTTTTTTTTTTCCTCTTTCAGGTTCCAGATACCGCGTTTTCACTGCATGCGCTCTATCGGAACAAATATGTTTGCTGTGTTTATCTGTTTCCTGAAATTTGATGAAAGTTAAATTAGATGTTATGCAACATATCTTAAGGCATCCTCTCAGAATCAGTTTTCGGGAATCTAGATGGGGTCAGTGGCTTTGTGTCCATTCACGGTACTACCTACGTAAAGTTGGCTAGACTAGTAAGCTAATTTCGAAAGCAGTCATTCATTGTAGGTCTGCGATTGTACACGCATAGACGGGAACGTCGTGAAGCCACTGGCGGTCGTGGACGCGTGGCCGGATCAGACGGACCCCAACAAGAGATGGACAACTCCGCAGCGCCCGAGACACACATCCTCACACGCGCGTCCCGTCGGTGGCGGTGTGGGGTCGCGCGGGCGGCGGCGCCGCGTGCGCCGCGGGCTTGTTTGCGCGGGCCGTCTCATTAAGAATACACGCGCTGAAAACAGGCCCCGCACAGAATAGATGATCTGGTGTATCGTTATTTCTCTGACCTGGAACCTCGATTCGTCGAAATATACGATACGTGAAACATTTGTTTTTCCCTTTTTTATTCCAGATATTGATTTTTTATTGATTATTTAGTGATCTTGGGCACATACATTGCAAACAACTACCAGGGTCATTAGTCTCGTAAGTGTAATTACATGTTGTTAGGTCGGGAGGTGATGGTGGTCTTTCCCTCGTTGTATGGCGAGACCCGGCGCTGACCTACCATCGGTTAGCGGGGTTTTCTCCAACCAGGTATCTCCCACCGGCGGGGCATCGCTCCAGCTGGATCAAGCTCTAAGCTTCAGACCGGTGTACCGACATGTCTGGTAGTGTACAGCATGTTAGGGTAATTGGGTGTGTAGGGAGTGAGATTAGGACAAGGAAGAGGAAGGTGAGATCGCGCGCGGTACGTGGCCCGTTTGTCATGGTACTGCTTCGGTATTCGCCTGGTGTTGATCGGAGAAATCACGGAAAACTATCGATCAGAGCAGCCGAATTCTCCTCCAGACAGCATTAGTATTCTTCTCGAGACAGCGACTAAATTCGACAGCAACAATTAAGTGTCGAAAGTCCTTCCACCGTCGGGACACCAACTTAGGACCTGTCAGTTAGAGGGACTGCAGTGACATCAGTTGATACCCTGAGCCACCTCTCCCGGTCCCAGATCTCGATTTTCATACTATAAACTACGAGACTACTTATTATTTATTAGATCAAATATGTTTATGAGACTTGCGCGCTTCCTACTCCTCTACCGAGGCTGCGAAAATATGTTTATGTTTCCTGAAATTTGATGAAAGTTAAATTCGGTGTTTTGAAATGTAACTATAATCATCTTCTCAGAACCAATTTTCGGGAATCTGGCTGAAAATAGTTGATTGAGATCCATTCACGGACCTAACTATGTAAATTTGGCGACCAGTAAGCTAATTTCGAAAGCTGTCATTCATTGTAGTACTGCGGTTTACACGCATCGACGGGAGCGGTGTGATGCCACCGATCTCTTAGCGTGGCGGCGGGCGACGTGGCGGCGTGGCGACGTGGCGGCGTGACCGGATCACTGTGTCCTCAACAAGAGACGTACACATTCGTAACGGCCGAGGCACACATCGTCACACACGCGCGTCTGCGGTTGCGGCAGCGGAGGCGTCGGCGGCGACAGGGGGCGGGGGCAGCGGCGACCGCTTCCGACAAGGGCTTGTTTGCGCGGGCCGGCGCATGAAGAATGCACGCACTCCGATCAGGCCTTGAAAAAAATAGATGCTCTCGTGTATCGTTATTCCTCTCGGAGCTTGAATGCCAATTCGTCGAAATATTCGATACCTCGGTCAGTTGTTTTCCCTATCAGATTCCAGGTAACGAGTTTCGGCTGCACTCGCTATATTCTGCCAAATATGCTTGTTTTTATCTAAAAATATTATGAAAATTAAAGAAAGTAATTTGTTGTGTA